GGAGATAATCCAAATATGAGTAATGTGGATTCAGATAAAGATTTTCGTTTTGGTGGTGTAGTGATCAGGGCCTATTCTCATTATATATTGGTATAAAGGGAAGCTAAGTTTGTATGTTTTTCAAATATGGTATGTGGTCACTTTCTGAACACATTTATGAATTCTCATGAATTTTCAATTGATTTTGTCAGATTTTCCAGATAGAAAATTATATCTGCTCATGATGATACATGTTTCTCCTTTTCTAAGTGTTTTCTTTCTATATCTTTTCCTGATTTTGCTATATTGGCGTCAATGTACAGAGGAATGTCTCCAAATAATGATGTGAGCAGGCTACATTATCTGATTTTAACAGGAACCTTCTAGTATTTTATTATATTGGCTGGTGTTTTGCAATGGATGGTCTTCACCTTTTAAAAAAGTATATTTTAACTCTTTGTTTAATAATATTTTTAATAAGGTCAAGATTTGATTTTTAATTTACCTTTTCACAATTTATCTACATATTGCTGGTATATCTCACATATTTTGATGAGATGAATTATGTTTACATGTTTACCGGACTATTTTGCATTTCCAGATCAAATCCTACTTCATATTAACTGCCCTTAAAAATTCTTTTCAAAAATGTAAAATACGGCTGAGTAGTACTCCACGGTACACATATACTACATTTTATTAGTACACTTATGTATTGATTAGCACTTGGGTTGTTTCCACATCTTTGCAATTGTGAATTGTGCTGCTACAAACATTTGAGTGCAAGTGTCTTTTTAATAAAATGTCTTTTTTTTCCTTTGGGTAAATATCTAGTAGTGCGATTGCTGTATCAAATGGTAGGTCTACTTTTAGTTCTTTGAGATATCTCCATACTATTTCCATAGAGGTTATAAAACTCAGCAGAAATCAAGTAGATTGGAGGGAGGGAAGGAGATCGGTAAATTAATACCTAATGGGTACAATGCACACTATCTGGGAGAAGGGCACACTTATAACTTTGACTCAAATTATACAAAAGCATATTATGTAACCAAAATGTGTGCTATAATATTCTGAAATTTAAAAAAAGAATTTAAACAGAAAATGATGTAAAGTGAGCCATGCTCATTGTGGAATGTAAAGCAGAATAGAGAAATATATTGTGAAAAGTAAAGGATTTGTACATTCCAACAACTTAGACCTCTGAGAAAACTATTTAATTTTTTGCATATTTATCCAAAGGCCATTGCATACTCATATATAATCTCCTTTAAATACATACATGTACACATAAAACTCTGCAAGTGGCTGTTTTCACTCAATGTATCATGGACATAGTTTCAATTCAATTCTCATAGATTTTTGTTTCTTTGGACTAGATGAACAATATTCCAAATGTACGTTTTTCTTACTTTATGTCTCTAGTCATGTATAGGTAGAAATCCAGTCCCTCTTCAATATTTGCATTTACAAATAGTATTTCAGCCGCACCTTTGTAAATAACTCTTCACGCACTGTGTGCGTTTACCTATGGGGATAAGATTTAAGATACAAGGTATTTATAGGATAAAAATCAAATGTAGTATGTCAAAGGGGATATGCATTTTCAACTTTGCGAATGTTCCAAATTAATCTTCCAAAAAGTGTAATTCTAATTTTTATTCTTACTAACAGTGTATGAGATAGAGATTGTTACTCAATACTCTCACCAAAGATGAATGTTACCAAAAGTGTTAAGAATTGCTGATTTAGAAGAGTAATATGATTTTTATTTTACTTTCTGTTATTTTAGGGGCATAAGTGTTTTCAATCTGTATTCCTATGGTATGTCTTCTTTAATTTTTTTGTGTTATTATAGCTTTAAATATTGACTACAACTTTTTTCCCTCTTTAGCTTCTGTCCTTAATACTTTCTAAAAAAGTTAAATAGCATTACAATCTTCTATTTTTACTGATTTTCTTAGGTCAATGTCAGGTATGCCTTGAGTCATTTTTGCTAATTTATGATATACATTCCAGTTAGATTTTAGAACCTGGTCTCAAATATATTATTAGTATGTGTATGTGCACATAAATATAAAAACATATAAATACACAAATACATATATACACACTAATTAGATGGAATGGATTCTCAGATGGAAAATTTATGTGAAAGCTGAACACCTAGACTAATGTCATAAGGAATTGAGAAGAAAACAACAATAAACCAAACCCATCTATAAAATTGTTAAATTAAATATAGGGAGGTGACCTTGAGTCTGATATATGACTACCCCAAGGCGGCCTAGTCTAATGTCATGCTTTTCAAAGAAGGCTGGTATTTTGAGGAAGATGGAAAGAGAAATGGTCTGGAGGCATAAATGGGGAACAAGAAGTGTACTTCCCAGACTTCCATGCCTGTGGGATACTGAGAGGATTACAGTGAGACTCCTCCCATGGCATCTTTGAATATAGTTCTTATATTACTTATCTGATTTAATTTTTCCTTCTAATGTAGAAGAGGTTATTTTAAATCATGAATGATAGAATAAATTACTGGCATTCATTTTATTAATAGCAGTTATATCACATACAAACAAAAAAGTTATCCAATAGTAGAAGAATGATGTGGTGAATATGAGATGTCACTATTTTTTTTGGTCATTTTAATCCTCTGTCTTGTAAAATGGAAAGAACAGAAAACATTCTGTTTATGGTAGCAAAATGTTATATCTAAAGAGTATTCAAAAACCTGTAAAAGGCATAGTCTCTACCCAGAGACATGTGGCTTGCTATCACTGCATTGGACAATGAGGACGTACACATCCCTGAGTACAACACATGTTAAAAAAAGAAGTGGATTTCAAACATTTTTGTCTAGGATCTAGGTGAAAAAAATTATTTCACATGGTGACATAACAAACACAAACATAGACACACTCTCTTACACACACAACTACAAATAAAACTGAAACAAAAATTGTATGAAACAATGCTACATGGGAAGTGCCTTGAATGTTTAATATCTGTGAAGTCCAATATTATAGGTAATTAGGTACAAGTGGTTATTCCAATTAAAATTAAGACCAAATAACATTCCATTAGCCACAAATGGCTATACCATATTGGATAGCACAAATATAGAAAATTTTCATCATTGCCTAGAGTTTGATATTATAGCCCTGGCTTCGCTTCGCTTCGCTTCTCTTCTCTTCTCTTCTCTTCTCTTCTCTTCTCTTCTCTTCTCTTCTCTTCTCTTCTCTTCTCTTCTCTTCTCTTCTCTTCTCTTCTCATATAATTCCATGAGCTACTATTGTGTTGAAAATTTAAGTTTAAATATCCAAAGAGAGTCAGCTTGGGAAAAGTTTGTTTAAATATCTTCACATGATGAATCACTGAGATTGTTTCAGGTCAGTAGATTCACCATAAAACATTTGTATAGGTACAACATGCAAATATTGAAAATAATTTGTTTATAATAGCACTGTGCAATAAAAATAAGATGTAGGGCATTCATGTAATTATAAATATTCTAGTAATCAAATAAAAATGTGAAATTAATTATTTAATCAAATAAAAATGTGAAATTAATATTTTTATGCATATTAAGTGCATTTCAAATGCATTTCAAATATGATTAATATAAAAGTATCAATAGTACATCTTAATTCTGTTTTATACTAAATCTTTAATATATAATGTATATTGCACACTTATAGCACATCTTAATTAGGACTACCAACGTTTCAATTGCTCAATAGTCACATGAGACTAATAGCTACCATATTGGGCAGTGCAGGTCTAATGCTACACATTTCAGGACCTTTGATTACCTATTTGGTAGAAGCTTTCAATTTCCTGTAAACACATGAAACACTTGTATTTCTCACCCAAACAAACAGGCAAAAATATTTTTTTCACATTAGATATTTCTTACTCTTAGATATCTGTTCTCTCCAAGAGCAATGTGGCCAGTAGCATCTTGCTTTTTCCTTTCCCTAAACAGGAATAATAAGATTATGAATAAAGATGTCATTTATTGAGTTCCTGCTCTGTGTTTTTGGTTGATTTTTTTGCATAAATATGTTATTTCAAGTTGGTTTTACATACACACATGATTACATCTTATTTCAAGAGGTTTTTACTTCAAGGCCTCTCTCCAAAAGACCACACTCCAAACAAATTTAATTTCTTCAAAAAATATTTTTCAGGAGAAATTCTTTACTTTCAAGTAAAAACTAAAAAAAAAACCCTGGATGTTTAATTTTAGTTCTACTTGTCTTTACTATTAATAAAATATAAAAACTAGTGTAATTCAATTACACAGTATTGGTAGGAATTAATCAAGCTATTTGATTATGATGCTTGGCTAGAAACACATAGTTCTGCATGCAAAGCTTTGTGTAAGCTGTTAATGAGAGATCAAGACCAATTTCTTAATTATTTCCATTAGTATACTAACATCAAGTTAAAAATTAATATCAATCTTTTATTTATTTTTTTATTTATAAGTCAATTTTAGTATAACAGAAATTCCAAAGTTTGACTTTTTGACACTAACAACTTTTGTAATAAAGTGTCTAATATTTTACATATTATATTTTACATGAAAGTTTATGCTTGGGATATTATCTAAAAAAAAATAAATACTATTTTTTAAATGAGGTAATAAATACAGAGGGGGAATGACTTAGTGGAAAAATGACTTAGGGGGAAAATATGCAAGTATAGTCACCCCAAACCAAAAAGTTTTCTGAAAGCTGTTACAATTCTATTATTTACTACTTTTTCTGAATTTTAGCAGAAAAGCTGTTGAAAAATTACTGTTTTAATGTAGATTTTGAAAATATCTCCTTGAACTTTTCCATAGTGTGTTCTGTACCAATATTAGGTTTAATTCTGATACTGCCATCTAGAATTTACATTTGGCCTTGTATTTATAACTTTCAAGCTAGAGTAACTTTAATACCTGAAACTGATGTTTCATTTTAGAAAACTAATCCCTGGTTAATCTAACATCTTGTACCTGTTTGTTGTAGGTTCTATTTCATTTTCTGGGAAAAGCAAACAAGGTGCTTATTTTAAGGAAGATACAGATCAAGATCGAAAACTCTCCTTTCAGAAATCACTAACAGACGTAGTCCACCCTTTTGATGATGAAGGTGCAGGTAAATTTATTGTGATAGAGAGTTTCATGATTAATCTGCAGAAACCCAAATTATTATTCATTTTTAAGTTAAGAGGATACTTTACATGCATAATATAATACATATTCTATTTTATGTTGCATAAATTTATAAGAATTTTATTGGATTATTTCAGGATTAACTTTATGCAGCATCCTTTCTAGATGTCTATTGCTATTAATACCAATTGTCATAATACTTCAGTTGGAAGGCTGCTTACTTATACATAAGTGAAAAACCTTACATAGTGTTCTATTATTAAACAAAAAATATAGCAAATTTCAGATAAAATGTTGAGTATATAATTTTAATAATGTAATATACTTTTCTTACTTCAATATAGGAGATGCTAGCCATATTCTTCCTGTGCCAAAGAAACTAAATGCTATTGTTTTCCCTTCCTATATTATAAAACTTTATTTGAATGTTGCTAAACACCATATCTTCTTAGTAGAGGTTCAAAAGAAAATGAGATGATGAAGAGTTAGAATAGTTTCCTGGAAAAGGGGTGAATGAGTTCTTTGATGGGTGATTAACAGAGATATAAGAGGTTACTAGAGAAAAGTGGTTCAACAGGAGCAAAGTTGTGGAGACAAAGAGGTATACCAAAGAAGAAAACTTTATTTAATGAATTTATATTAGTCAGGGTTCTTCAGAGAAACAGAAATAATGGGATAGATATAGATGTGGATATAGATATATATTTATATTTGTGTATGTATATATAATATAGAAATATATTTATATATTATATACATACACATATATAATATATAAACATATATATTTACAATATATAATATACATACATATGTATATAATATATATGCATATATAATATACATATATAATATACACATATATAATATACACATATATAATATAGAAATATATTTCTATATTATATATGTGTATATATACATACATATATATACATATATATATATATATAGAGAGAGAGAGAGAGAGAAAGAAAGAAAATAGAGATTTTAAGGGATTGGCTAATACTATTATAGGAGCTGGCAAATTCAAAATCTGTAGGGCAAGGCAGCAGGCTAAAATTCAGGTAAGATTTGATGCTGCAGTCTTGAGTCCAAATTCCCCAGGTCAGGATAGGCAGGCTGGAAACTCAGATTGGGTTTCTATGTTTCAGTTTTGAGGAAGAATTATTTCTTCTTTAAGTAATCTCAGTTTTTGCGATCAGGGCCTTCAAGTGATTGGAGGAGGCCCACCCACATTATGGAGGGTCATCTGCTTTACTCAAAGTCTACTGCTGTAAATATGAATCACATTTTAAAAATAGCTTCATAGCAACATCTACACTGGTGTTCGACAACAGAACTTGGTACCTAAAGCCCATCCAAATTGACAAACACAATTAAGCATCACAGAATCCATGGATTAAAGAGTGGTATTAGGCAATATTCAAAATGCTTTGGGAAAAGCAGTTAGGACTAGTTAGTCCACTATAACAGCAAACTAGGTTTAAAGTGAAGAGAATTGGGTATTTTATGGTGGTGTTGGTGACAAAGAAATACCACTAAAGATGGAAAAGATTTCAGAGACTAGCATTGAATGAATGTCCTGAGAGAAGAGAATGAAAAAGGGGATTGATTCTAAAAACTAATAATAAGGTTTATTTGTATCTTGGTAAATAGAAATTAATAAGATAGAAATTTCTAAATTTCTGAATAAAAAAAGAAAAAGTTTGGGAAATTATAATGCCTAGCAGAATTGTATACTTCCTGATATTGGTGCGACAATAAGACATTTACATGGCAATATCCTGTTGTCCACAGAATCTTTGGAGCCGAGACTGGTAAAAATAATAATAATAATAATAATAATAATAATAATAAAATTGGTTATAAAGGTTTAGGGTTTCTTCTATTGGAATCATGCAGGTGAGGCGAAAGAATAGATGACAATTATAGATGCATTACGCGAAGAGTTAAATTCTCATCAACATCTAAGGCAGAAGAACCATGAAAGAAAACCTGTTATGTAAAAGTTAAAATGTTCAGAAGAGTTTGAAAGAAAATCAGGGAATTATTATATTATGATGTTATATTAATGGACTAAAACAGACTGATGTCTAATAAAAAATACTAAGTTGCATGATGGCAGGTTGCAAGACAAGTTAATAACTAGGAAAAAATGCATCTAATAACATTACGGGTACCCTCAATTCTTCACACAGGCCTTCCCATATCCTTTCTCTCAGACAGGATTAAACCTTTCCAGTCTGTATTGTTTTTTACAGATTGCTCTGCAGTATATTTCTTTTCAATTAATAATAAATAGAATTCCTGAACAAATATCAAATATTCCTGAACAGACAAGTATCAAGTACTGAAACTGATGCAGCAATAAAAAACCTTCCTAAAAAGAAATGTACCAGCCCAGATGCTTTCACACCTGAATTTTACCAGACCTACAAAGAACTGGTGCCTATCCTGCAGAAATTATTCCATAACATCGAGAAGGATGGAATCCTCCCCAACACATTTTATGAAGCCAACATAACCCTGATACTAAAACCAGGAAAGGACACAACAAAAAAACAAAACTACAGACCAATATCCCTTATGAATATAGATACAAAAATTCTGAACAAAATCCTAGCAAACCGAATCCAGGTGCTTATCAAGAAAATAATCCATCACAACCAAGTGAGCTTCATCCCAGAGATGCAGGATGGTTCAACATATTCAAATCTATAAATGTAATTCACCACATAAATAGAAGCAAAAACAAAGACCATATGATTCTCTCAATAGATGCAGAAAAAGCATTTGACAAAATTGAACACTCTTCTAGCTTTCCTCTCGTCAAAGTAATGTAAAGAACTAAATAAGAACTTTTTTAACCTTCCAAATAGGGAAATATGAAAAATAATGGTAGCACCCAGTTATAATGAAAAATCAGGTCAAAAGAGTCAATCTCATGCATTATAATGGAAATTTAAATTGATACAAAGTTTTTGAAGAGAACATTTACGATATGTTTAAAAAATTTAAGAATTAATATTATCCAATGATTCAGTCTAAGGAATTTGTTAAAATAATCAAAGATTTGCATAAAATATTATATTAATATATATGAATGTTCCTTATGTGATCTATTATGTTGAATAATTGAAACTAACATTTTAATAGTGAATATTTTCCAAATAATATAAATTTGCATATTTATATATGCACATGAATATGTTAATTATATAGTGTATACACCCCAATGTATTTATATATATATGTGTGTGTATCTATACGTTTACATATTTATTGATATATTAAGCCTAGAATTTTATAGAAAAAATATTAAGTTGCTTTCTTTTGATTGTAAGGTTATGAATCATTTTTTTAATAATCTTCATGAATTTCTAAAATTTCTGTAGTGAATGTTATTGATTTCACAATTAGAAAAAAATCTTAATATGTTTAAGGTTTAGAGTTGAATAATGTTTAATCATTATTTTTGTTCTCATTAATTATTCACTAGTCCCACTCTAATCAATAAATTCATATTCTGTGCACATGTTTAGCACTCTAGGAAAATAAGTCAGTTATATCACAACATTGTCACAGGTGATAGTCACAGCAATTACAAATAGTCGATGTTATTGTGATAGTTAATTTTATGTGTCAACTTGGCTGAGCCACAGAGCCAACATATTTGGTCAAATTTGTTTTGAACGTTTCTGCAAAGGTGTTTTTTGGATGAGATTAACATTTAAATATGCAGACTTCGAGTAAAGCAGATTACTGTAATATGCTGACACCTCATCCAATCAGTTGAAGGCCTTAGCAAAACAAAAGCTGACCTATCCTGATATCCTGCAGATTTTGAACTTAATCAACAATTGAGTGAGCCAATTTTTTAAAATCTTAAATTCTCTCTTTCTCCCCTATCTCTCTTATACACAACCTGTTGGTTCTGTTCCTCTAGAGAACCCTGACTAATACACTCCTCATTCCATAGATGGGCTGACTATTGAGTTACTTTGCCAAAGATCACAAGGTAATGGTGGTCAAGTTGGGATTTAAATCTTGGTTTTCTGACCCTGAGTCATTCTATTGCTCTTTGTATTAATCCAGAGTTTTGAAGCAGTCTCCTTAGTCATAGATACTGTTTTTCTCCAGAATTATTTTCTCTGTGAGTTCACTGTGAGTAAAAACATTGGGAAGACCCAGATAAAATATACATGAGGTACTTAGAAGGGGAAACACTTTCCATTTTAAGAACTTTGTTTTATTTTGGGAGAAGTCACATTTAAATGTCATAAAAGAATTTTAACTGCTTTTATGAAATTGAAGGAGCAAATGTAGCAGAAGTTTCTTCAATAATCTCAGTCCAGTATGTATAAATTTGATAATCTTATTCTCTGCACATTAATGGTTTTAAGGGAATGAAGTGATATCTCCAAAATAAATAAGCACACAGGGCAATTCAAAATGTGGAGGTAAGTTTGCCCTTAAGAACTTCTCATGGGTATTTGGAATAAGAACTCACCTGAACCTCCTCTTTTTCTTCCTCTCACTAGTTGTATTCTCTGAGTCTCTAAATTGTTCTCAGACCCACAAATTGTATAAGTGTTTGTTAATACATAAAGTATTAGAATAAGATAGAATATAGTACAATGCAATATGGTACAGAACAGTGCAGTGTGATAAAATCCAATGTCATGCAGTATAACCCAATAAAATACTATTCAATGCCATTCAGTGTCATACAGTGCCATACAATACAATGCAAGGCAAAAAATATAGTCATGGAGAAGATTTTTGAAAGAGAGAGATACTGAGAATTCTACCAGTTTGGACTCCTTTTTCATAGATGAAAAAACTGAGGCCCAAAGAGGTTAGCGATTTCCCTAAATATGTTAATCTAGCAAAACAGTTCTTGAAATCTTTTAAACATGACAATACTGACGTGAATGTGAATACAATTTACTGAAACTGAAGTACATCTTAAACCATGAACTAATTCCACACTGGAAAACAAAAGAATATCAGTTGAAAGCTAAACAGATAAGGAAAAATCAGAGAAAGAAAGTGAATTTGATGCAAGTACAAAATCCATCTATGCAGGGTCTTTGAGGTTGATCAGCGCTCCCATTCCAGGGTAAAGGGGTGTGACTTTGGACATCACCAGGTGCAGAATTGCTTTTTTAAAAGGAACCCAGGTATAAATATTACTGTATCACTACTTTCCAGCTTTTCTTGGGCTACATTTTTGGGATCCTTTTTCACACTCCCAAGAAACCTGAAATCTCATATTCCTTACTTTCTCCTTAGACTAGATTCTTGTGATCCTGGAAATGTACCACTGTGAATTATGATGACTTATTTAGATATTTTTATGTACAAATACGTGAATGGTTTCACAATTAGGGAAAAAAAAAGATTGGCTATTTCTTTTTGATATATCCATCCTTAACTTAAAAATAAAACATTCATAAGATTATTTTCGTGGGGAACTTAATGAGTTTCTGGGGCAGGCACAAGGCCAGGAGCTTTTACAAGGGCTTTAACTAACTGTGATGAAAACAACTTCTCTCACCCTTCTCTCAGTTCTCTTGACAAACAAATCCATTAAAAAGGTTTGAAAATGATGTTCACTCTTGATTCTCAAATTTGTATGTTAAATATGGTATTCTGAAGTCTATTAATATATTTTAAAAGTGCTGTGTTTTGTTTTATTTTGTTTTTCAGATGATGATGTTAGCAATTTAATAGTCTGGTATTCTCTTGAGATCCATAGCACTCCTGGACTACCCATAAACATTATTGAAATGGAGTGTACTGCTCTGGTAAGCACCCATTAAATGTTCATAGACTCTGTCATTTTGCCAACAGGGTTTTCATTGGATACTAAATCACTATCCTTACAAACATCCATATCAAATGAGCATACTGAGATAAATTATTCAATCATAGCAATTTTATTTTTAAATCTAGTACTATGGACCTTAAATGCTTTTGGAAAACATCTTTAGTTATATAGCATCTTACAGTGACTACACTGATTAGCATGTTTTCAAGAGTTACTAAAACAAACTTAACCTTAGCCTTCATGCTTGTTCTCACATATATGAACCAAACAGGATTGTATAAGATCTCTACACTCTTTCAGCATTGATCCTTCCTGGTTTCTACAACATGCCTTTCACTTGGAAACACATCTGAAGCAACTGGCATACATTTGGGGTTTTAAGTAACAGTGACTAAGAATAGGATTGTCTTAAGTGAATTATTAAAGTGTTACTAAATCCATATCTAAGATTATTTGATAAAGTTAAATAGTGAGAATCTTAGTTTAAATGAAACATGAGGACTATATATATATTGACATTAATAATGTTTTAATTAGATTTAATTGCCTTATTGTTAGTACTCAAATATTTAAATTGATAATAATCAAATGTCACTTTCATTTTTAAATATGCAGATAGATTTATTAATAAAGTTGATTATTTAGAATTTTGAACTTTTGCTGCAATAAATAGAAAGAAAGAAAATATTTTAAATAATTCTGTATGTTGATTGGTTATCTACCTGGTTTGTGGGTAAATCTCCATTTAGGCATAGAAAATGGATGGCTAAAATATTGAAATGCACTTAAATCTAGATTGAAAAAGCATCATCTTCTAAAATTATTTAATATGATGATGGTAGATCATTTCACTCAATAAAAATGTCCTATTTCTGTGACTCGGTTATCATTGCAGCATAAAATCTTTCATAAAATTTATTTTTAAATGATATAATTTTAATTACACAACCTCTTGTTATGGAAAGTGATTACTGAATTAAAATTTATATGTTTATCAGGGCATAGGAGGAAAAACATTTAGAAATGGGTCTTGAAGAAATTGGGAGCATGAGACAGCACCTCAGCCTCAGAAATGGGGACATTATCTTTCTTATTAACTATATGTTTAAAATAGGAATAGAGATGAGTTGAGATATGCAACACAAACTAGCATAAAGTTACTTATAAACAACTGTTCAATCTTCACATTAAATGGTTCATAACATGCCTTTTTTTCCACAAGAGCTATTAGCCCTTTCAGAAAATACTGATAAAAATTGAGATTTATTTTAACTTTCAACTTTGAATGGTGAAGATTGCCACAAAGGTTGAGAAACATCCCCCAATGAGAGTACTTTATGTGATTATGTAAGAAGACTGAGCAAAAAGCAAAAAGAAGTGACCACCTGTCTGTTTTAATGAGACATTTCAAATATGTTATCATTTTTGAAATTAAGATTTGCATATACCCTTTCAGGAATATATTATTTTCAAATTAATGTATTTTCATATAATAGCCCTGTACATTTTCCATAAAGTTCTTTCCCCTCCTTATGCAGTAAATGCCATTATTATAATGCAATCCTACTTCAGTTTATACCAATTTCCTATCAGTTTTTAATTTAAATTTCTCTTTGTTTTGGTACCTCATTGGGATACCTGTAACTTATCTTATGTGCACATATTATATATTTCTGATTGCTATCAATTATATTATTCCTTTTATTTTTCATTATGGATAGTTAACATAGTTATTTCATAAGACACTTAAATAATATACTTTCATGGTCTACTCAGATGAAAATGCCATTCTTGAATCTGCATTCCATTAAGTAGTTACACATTATATGCAGGAGCAAAATCTCTTATCACTATCAGCTCCTAGATTATTCCCTTTGTTACTACAGGCAGGTTTGTTGTATTAATTAAATGTTCACTTTCAACTGAGGTTGGTGGAGAAAAGGGGAGTCTTTTCAACTAACTCTACCCACATAGGCTACCAGTGTTAGTGATGTTGTTGCCAAGTTATTAACTTTTCCCATCTTTTTAATAGTAATTGCCTAAGGTAAAAATTTGCCCTTTTTAACTTTCAAACATGAAGATTTATTTGATAGAGATGGTATGGTTCCTTGAAATCTTTTAAACATGACAATACTGACGTGAATGTGAATACAATTTACTGAAACTGAAGTACGTCTTAAACCATGAACTAATTCCACACTGGAAAACAAAAGAATATCAGTTGAAAGCTAAACAGATAGGGAAAAATCAGAGAAAGAAAGTTAATTTGATGCAAGTACAAAATCCTTCTATGCAGGGTCTTTGAGGTTTATTACTATGGTTTATTATTTAAAATAATCCTATCAGAGGAAACCTTTGTTTCTTGGAGAAGATGCTTTCTGAATACTTTCAGAAGTATACTAAAATTGTTGTCCTCACATATATATTATTTCCTAATATTTTTTTACTACGCTTACTGCTTTGCCAAATCATTTGGGAAATACTTCACTTAAACCTTAGATTTTCAGATGTGGTGATGGAGCATTCAAGATACTAAGCCATCTCTGATTTACCATCTGCATATTAGCTTTTATTATATTCAACCCAATAGTCACATTTTCCTAGAGAAGAATGAATAATCACAATCTCTCTAAAGTAGTGTTCATGTAAGAAATACTTACAATATCTCAAGAAATATGTTTGATCTTACTACAGGTTCCAAAAAAAAGATATATTCTCAGTAAACAACTCATTGATAGTCCATTTTCTGTTGATATATTTAGGATTTCCTTTGGAAATTTTAACATGCAATATCTGCCGTTCCATTTTGTTTGAACTCAAAATTTTCTTGTATTTCATATAGTTTGGCTGTGGGAGAATGATGAAAGTAACCCACTATCTTTCCACTAATACCCAATAACTCCAGTATGTAGCACTGAGCTATAAATGGAAACAACTTAAGTATATGAACAACACATTATATGCTTTAAGTTTTAAACAGTCATAACCTTCATAATATTGATTTCATGGTCAGTGACAATTACATGACCATTTCTTTACTGAGATTTTCATTCTATAATCAACCTTCAATTAAATTCACTATATTGTTAATGATGATACTCAGAGATCTCTCCATAAGCTAGCAAAAGAGAAGCATAGTTTAAATACCATTAATCTACTTGGTATAAAATATGAAAAACATAAGTGCCAAACAACATATTTATGTGAGTTACCAACCATTTTAAACAAATATTTAGAGTTTTAGTCCCCATAAATATATTTTGAGGTGCTATTTTTATGTATTTTCTTCTTTCCTACTTTTTATTTTTCTAGGTGAAATATCATATATCATGGTTGTTATGCATGATATTGAAATTTTTCTTCCTCACAAAATTGTTAAGGTAGCAAAACTAGCATTCTGCTTTTATTTATCCTGAAAAATTGTGAAAAAATCTTAAATAGGATTTTTTATCTTAAAAATATCTCATGGCCTAATTTGAGTTAAATACAAACAAATGTAGAAACATCTATGGGAGATTGTTTTGATTAATGTTGCAAACACTCGTATACCAAAAGATTCTATAAAGATTAGAATTATGACAAAATCTCATTTCTATTAATTTGCCTATATTCTTATTTTTAAAATGTAAAGCATTTGTTATCTCCCAAAAGATCTAAATCCATAGAGCTAATATACTGGGCTTTATTATTTGTATTAATTGCTAAAGTATTTCCTATATTATTTATTTATTTCTAAATTTTAATTGGTTTTATTATTTCTAAATTCTAAATGGTTCACAACCATTCTAATTGGTTTTGTACATAATGTCTATGGCATTAAAAACCAGCAGTAATTATCCACTTTTACTTCAACTGACAGTGGAATCAAGGCCATGACCTAGGGTTAAACTGCCTACACTTCACTGAAGTGCCTAATAGAGGGGCAGGGAGGGCTCTGTTCTTCAAATCATATGTCCTGCCAGAATTAAGTATGCCTTTGTTCATTCTTTGTCTCTCCTCCATTCTTCTTTTTTCCCTCCCATCCACTCTCCTTTCTTCCTCTCTCCTGCCCTTCCTATTTCCCTCCCCTCATTCTTTTAAGTTTTGTACCAAAGTCACCTTGCTGGCCAAGCCCTGTACTCTGAAGGATGATTTCTTTAGTAGTTTGTACACAAGCATCTTTTAGGCCAACAATGACTCTGGATAGAATTTCAACAAGGAAACTCATCAGGAGATTTTTATTCCAAGTTATAGTAAGAATGGTGGCCTGTATTTACAGAATACCTAGATAGTCATAATGAATCCTTTTGACACTCCTTGTTCATAAATACTGATATTGCTGTTCTAATTACATATGATGTTAACCAAAACAATTTGTGGAAATAGGGACTTAACTGGTTTTTCTTCCAAAGGCAGAGAGTGAGATCAAACAACAGATTTTAGAAGCCAAATGAGTAATGTCTCTACTTTCCAGTGAATTGAGTCAGACTCAGCTCCTTCTCAGTGTTCTCATGCTTCATTCTCCCTGGGATTATAGTGGAGTTAAGAGGAAACTAGTGGGGCATCCTGACTTCAGGTTCAGAGATGGAGGGCATTTGGGCCTTGCCGTCTTGTCTTGACATCAGTAATGTAACAATCTTACTGGCTAGTGGTTGACCATTAAGGAGCTCTCCCTATCAAATTTCTTGTGGCCCTAGAAAGACTCAGGAGAGTATCCCCAAAGCTTCCCAACTGCTTCTGGAAAAGTCTTTGAAATAGCTGAGATGGGACGTGTCTTTGGGAGAAAGCTTAAGTCTTCGGTAAAGTATGTATTTTCTGTCTTTCACCATCCCCAGCTGAGGAAAACTTAATTTCTTCTTTTTTTTTTTTTTTTTTTTTGAGACAGAGTCTCACTTTGTTGTCCAGGCTAGAGTGAGTGCCGTGGCGTCAGCCTAGCTCACAGCAACCTCAAACTCCTGGGCTCGAGTGATCCTTCTGCCTCAGCCTCCCGAGTAGCTG